AGTATGTCATATACGCCAGATCCCTTGAAACATAGGCTGTGCAGATGTTTTTTCCCTGCAGCGACTGTGTCAAGCAGCAAGGATGGACCGGCTCCCAGCATATATATATATATATATATATATATCTCCATCCGTCCCACGTTCACAGGCTGTTAAATTGCGTTGTTTACCCATATCTTCTGAAAAAAAATCACTTCTACTGTCATGGTAAACAACCTGCTTCCCGATTTATAATGGTCTGGCCCTCTAGCAACTTCAGCACGAAATTATAGCTAATTTGCCTGCAAACGTCAGGTGGTCATAATAATCTGGCCACTCAGTGTATGTATATGTGTGTGTGTGTGTGTGTGTGTGTGTGTGTGTGTGTGTGTGTAAATAACATATATATTATCCTCACATATACATACATATGAATATACATATATATGAATATGTACAGTCTTACGAGTAGTTAAGAAAAAACAGTTTGAAACAATAATTAGATTCCTTTTTTTACCCATTATGTTGACAAAGAATTCTAGAAAATTATAATATCCAGGGCTGGTAGGATGAGCCTGATAATGTTTTGTTTGATTTTTAATATGTACACACCTGTAAAAAATGAAACTAGACCACCAACTTACACCATACACAAAAATAAACTCAAAATGGATAAAGGACTTAAGTGTAAGACAGGAAACCATAAAAATCCTAGAGGAATCCAAAGGCAACAAAATATCAGACATATGCCGAAGCAATTTCTTCACTGATACAGCTCCTAGGGCATTGGAAACTAAAGAGAAAATAAACAAATGGGACTAAATCAAAATAAAAAGCTTCTGCACAGCAAAAGAACCCATCAACAAAACAACAAGAAAGCCCACTGCGTGGAAAAACATATTTACCAATGTTATCACCGATAAGGGGTTAATCTCCAACATTTATAGGGAACTTATACAACTTAACAAAAGGAAGATAAACAATCCAATAAAAAAATGGGCAAAGGACCTAAATAGGCACTTTTCAAAAGAGGACATTCAGAAAGCCAAGAGATCACTG